AAAATGAATGTCATTCCAGACAGATCTGTCCAGGCAAATAGGCTTCCTGTCCGCAGTAGGCAACTTATAAAAATGTGGGCTGGATGCAAAATGTGGATTCAGGTTTGGCCCTTCATTTCCTTAGACACTCCTAACAAATGTGAATTTTACCTCATTACTTTGAGTCTTCATGGTTTTCTTCTGCCTTCACCTTGGCTCCTGGAAGTCTCCCTTCCTACTGAGCTCTGCTTTCAGAGCACATTACAATGGGAGTCTGAAATAATCTTTTTGAACCTGAACTTCTATGCCACCTTGTCAAAGCCCCACTTGTGTCACTGATACCAACATCTGCAAAAAGAAACAGCACTTCTGGCTCTTTGACTTGGTCCCCTTTGCTGTCAGCCCTGTCCTTGTTCAAATGCTTTTGTAAACTTGAGGGGGAGAAGTAGAATTTCAGAGAGCTTTCCTCAATGCCAAAGCAGTACAGATCAGGGTCTGCAGTTTTTGGGGATGGCTCCTGGTCCCTGTAAGCAAATCCTTGGTCTCTCATAGAGGCTACAAGGTCAGTGACCAAACTGCTCCCCAAAAAGGGCCCTGACAAACTGCAGTCTGTTTCCTCTGTCCCAGAGTATAGGTGGGGCATCCAGCTCCAGTGGGAGGTCAGTCTCAAAATGCTGGTGAATCAGGGAAGTGATATTCCAGAGAATGTCCCTTAGTACAAGGGCACTACAGGAGAAGAGGCGCAGTGCCTGGGAGAGGAACTTGCTGAACAAATTGTGCCTGAAATAAAACTCCCCTCCTGAACATGATGAATTTTGTGACCGTCCTCAGTACCACAGTGTTTGTTTTATATAAGCTTTAGCCCTATTAGTGATTGATTTGACATCTCAGAGGCAGTGGGTGTACTGGTGTTTGGGTCCTTTTAGCCTGTCTCATGCTATTCCTTGTCTGTTGGGTTTTACACACTTCAACAAAAATCCCTCAAGCTTGAAAGACTTAAAAAGCTGAAAGAAAATAAAATGTGGGCTCTTTGGGTTTTATTTCATCTGTTTCTCTTAATAATCTTACCAGAAAGATGCTTGACTTGTTAAACTTGCTGAAATATTTGTTGCCGATATGCCTTATCGAGCACAATCTGTGCTCCTTCTCCAGCCGGGGAGTGCCCTCTGGTGTTGGCAGTTCTGGTGGCAGCGCGGTGTTCCCTGTGCTGCCCGGGATGCTCTCCTGGCAGCACGGTGTTCCCTCTCCTGCCCGGAATGCTCTCCTGCCCGCAGCGCTTGGCAGCCCAGGATGCTCCGGGCTCATTCTTGACTTACATCGCGTTTCTGGGCAGAGGAATGCATGGCAGCAGTCAGACACACTGTTGTTTGCCTCTTCTAGTAAACTGATCTACTTTTCCACAATGCTGTTGTTCAGTATTCCTTGGCAGGCTTGTCCCTGTTGCTGTGCAAGAGAAGCACACTGGCCTGGCTTTGTTACACTGCTGGTGTCTCTGCACGTGCAGAAGGGGGAACACTGATGAGCAGCCACACATCGTTTGTTCACCCTCTGCTCCCAAAGCCACCATCTATTTTGTTTTGCCTGGGCTGGTTGTTTTGCTGGATGACTAATCAGCTGCCAAGTCATCCATTTTTCTCTAAATGCCAGAGAGCTTCATCTGCTCTAACAGCACCTGAAAGCCTTTGGCGTTTTGGGGTCACTGGTCTGTACTTGCTGTCAGTGCTAATGCTATTTGATTTTCAATATTAGATTTTATGCCTTGTGCAAAGCTGCATGTGGCCAGGATGTTTAACTGCAGTGTCCATGGCTCATAAATTCTTAACCCACAAAACCCAACAGGGAATAGTAAGGAAGCCCAAAATGAGGGTGGTGTGTGTGCATGTAAACCAGCACTTGAGCTCCGTGTCTTGCAAAGCAAATAATGAGCAGGATTTTGCCTCGGCACCACAGGCCAAAGTAGGAACAATATTTTAGCATGTTGTTTAAGCTAGAAGGGAGTCTTCCCAGTGGGAAAGCATTAGCCAGAAAAAGAAATTGCAAGATACAAAGTGGAAATTAAGCTTTTTTTTTCTTTTAAAGCTGTGAATGCATCCCTGAATGTGGGCAGATAGGGAACACTTTATTAAACTACCAGGTCCACTTGGAAGGGTATTTAAATTTATTAGCAAACTCAAAGTAACAAGAAGAAAGGAATGAACAATATAGATGGTTTTTGCTGTCAGTTAAATATTAACTCATAATGCCATTAGTCCATGAACCCAGTGTCTGAAACCTCTACACTTGTTTTAGGCAGCTGTATCTTTCAAAGTGTATCAATTAAACAAGCAATTGTTACTGACTTGGGTCACATTTCACAGTTCCTATCAGCAGCAGTTCTGTGAAGCACTGAAAGGTGATGCTGGAGAACCCCTCATTGTTCTGGTTTGTGCCCAGCAGCAGCACACAATGGTAAACTTAGGGCTATGCTCTATTGTTTCACTGTTTCACATACCAGCACTTCATTTTGCCAGCTCTAGTTTTCATTTGTGAGGCTGAGCTCATGGGGAAAGTGGATGTGGAGTTAAACTTGTTCTCTCTTATTCCTGCTCTGCTTTTGGTACCCTGACCCTCACTTCCCATGTGCAGAGGGTGTCATAGCAGTGGGAGCAATCCTGTAAAAGGGCTGGGAGGAGAAGCATGGCCTTTGATCTCAGCTGTGACAGGACTTGACACACTTACCAGGGAAAATACTTTGGCATGATAATTATGTTGATGACTTACTTTAAATGGTCCACAAGACCAAAATGTTGCTCGAAAATGTTCTCCATGAAAAGATCTGTCTGTGCTTCTGGTGTGACTCAGATTGAGCAGGGATGGGAGGCACATGGGAAGAGCTGATGATAGCTTAGCTGAACTGAAGGCATTGAGCCTCTAAAAAACTGAGCAGGAAGGACTGCAGAAAGCATGGAGACCAGAAAGGGGGTGGCTTGGGAAATGCTTTTGGTCAGACATGGCCCAGTGGGCCACAGCTAGTCAAAATGGAAGGAGGGGAAAATGAAAGACGTCAAAGAGCTTTGAAATAAAAGGACTTGTGGGTGCTGGAGATGGGGAGCTATGCACATAAGCAGCTGCCTCTGTAGGGGTGGGAAGGGTGTAATGCAGCCCCTTTGGTTTTGTTGAGGATAAGCCTTTGAAACTTCCAGGACAGCACTGAGCCCCAGCTCAAACCAGTGCACCTGGAGGCCACTTCAGGAGCAGGTCTGGCATGAGTGAACTGAGTACAGGTTTTCAGCCTGGTGCAATCACAGGGGAAAGATCAGTGGAGAGGAATATTCCCTGCTGCTCCTGGGCTCTGTTACAGAGCACGGCTGGCTGCCCACATGAGCAAAGTGGGCTGCTCCCTGGAGGGCAGGTACCTGCTCTGCCTGTGTCAGAGGTGATGGGGTTTGACAGAACAGCATGTTCCTCTCTGCAGCCGAGCTCTCTGCTGAGTGCAGGACTTGGCTGATGGAGGGCCTGGTGTGTGTGGGAGAAAGCTCCTCCAGTGAGTGAGGGACTGGCATCAGCCCTCCCAGCAGCACCAGTGGTCCCTGCTCTGCTTGGCTCCCAGCCTGGGCTGCAGGACCAGTGAGTTGTGCACTTCAGAGCTTCCCACTGGGCTGTGCCTCAGCCAGCCCTCTGCACAGGGCAGTGGCCACGGGGAGCAGGAGTAAAGAGCTGGTGAATTTTGGAAAAGGATAATTTCCTGGCTCTTTTCAGAGTCCCTCTGAAATGGCTGCTGTCCTCCAAACCTGAACTCTTTCCTTACAGGTTTTTAACTGTCAGTGAACTTGGTGCAACACCGAGCCTTTGCTCCTGTGCCACCTTTGCCTGCTCAGCTCTCTGCCCTCTTTCAGGCTCTCCTTCTATCCCTTCCTCACATCTCTTGACTACAGCCCTAAACCAAGACATTGCTGAGAAGCCCAAGGTCAGTTCTGTTGTTAAAAAACTGCTTTAGTAGAAACACTGGTGCTGTTCAAGGTGCCAATGTATCTTCTTCCAAAAGACTTTTTTTTGTGACATTTCTGTATAGAGGGCAAAAGCAAGGATTCATGCTCTGCCAGTTTGAGGGCAGGGGATTAAGAATATATTGTATCTGTAGTTAGACAGATATTCCTGTTCTTCTATTATAGTTACGGTTGTTATTACAGTCAGTTGTAGGGCATCTAAGTGAAATTTATCCACAATACAAGTGCCTGAAATTGAGAAGGAAGGCAGAAAACATTGAGATTTCCAAGTTGAGATGACCTCTGTTGCTCTCTGAGCTCGGACTATTTTTGGCAGGAGGCAGATGAAGCGAGGGCCTGCCTTGGAATGAAGGCAGAGCAGCTGCCAGCCCCTGTAATTAGCCAAAAGGCTGTGGAGTGTGGCCAGGAGGCTGCAGAGCACGTGGCTCCTGCTGTGGCCCTGCTCAGTCCGGAGCAGCGCCTGCAGGAATGCAAAGCCCAGCCAAGCCCAGAGACTGCAGCTGAGCCCTGAGCCCCTCATCTGGGGCTGAGCAGTCAGAGAGTGCCCTGGACAGGGTGCACAGGGCCCAGAGTCTTTGGAGCAGGAAACACAACCCTGGTCCTGCACACGGGACTGGTTCTGACCTTACCAAGGGCCTCCAAACACACTTGGATGGAATAAGTGCTCAGAGTAAACTGGGACTTTGATGACCCTGAATTGCAAGAGAATGACTCGGATACACAATAATGGATTTAATAATTTATGTATGTGTTTGGTGTAATTGTAGAGGAAAAAGAATTACTACAGACAAGATTTCTCTGGCAACCTCTGGGTTAGTGAAGCTGTTTTATCTCTTTATATGTAAATTCCAGGCCTGCCAAGAGCCTGCACACAAAATAATTTCTACTGATAATAGAAAATGAACCTACAAGAGTTTATAAAGACTTAGTTTTCTTTTTTTCTTTTACACTGTCTCATGTCATATATAGAAGGTAATCAAGGAAACAAGACAACCAAAATGTTTGTCAGAATTTTTACTACAAATATTTTCCCTCCATGATATTTAGTAGGAAAACCACATTGAATTTTTCTCAAAGCAATGCATTCATTGATATAGGCTGGCTTAAGGATGCAAAGAATGAGTATATTACAATCAGGAATCACAGAGTCATAGACGTGGGCTTGATACCAGAGGCTATAGATGATAAATCTTTCCATGGCAAGATTCTTCAATTGCTGCTTTCCTCTGTGGGCAGTAGCACAGCAGTGTATTTGTACACTCCTGAGAAAAGCCAGATCCAGAGCCAGTTCCTGGCCTGAATTTTGTCTGTTTCTAACCAAGCACAATTTCTCTGTAGGAATGAAACCAAGCAAGCATGCAGGTAATAGGGGAAGATGAAGTTCAGCCCGCTTTACTCAATGTGTGGAGCTATACATCAGTTCCACTGCTTTTTCAATTTCTTTTTGTTTCCTTCCTTGTTCAAACAGTGAGGAATCTGTTTCTCAAGAGCAGTCTGATTTGTGAGGTCTCAGTTCCTCATTAGCTGCATGAGTTACAGAAAGTGGAAAACTCTCTGGGACTTCAGAAATTGTGTGCTTCATGTGAGGCATTTCCCCATCACTTCTGTGCTGGATTTCAGAAATATTTTAGGTAACCAGTCTATTTCTCATGGGTACTCTTGGGCTATTTTCTTTCTATGGGTATGAGTTTGTTTCACAACTCTGTTTTTAATATTTGAATGAGACAAGGAAAGAAAAAATGCACCCCACCTTACACAGAAAGGAACATGTGTAATCATCTAAGATGTGTTTTGCTGTAGAATCTTACAGCTTTAAATTTTTTGTTTGTCAGCATAGTTGAAACTGCAGGGGCTTTGACTTGATGTAGATTTCGATACTACCTGCATTCACTCACTTTAAATTTTCATTCAAAACCTTCAACATTTTTTCCTGGTCTTCACAACTTTGCTGTGATATCTGACAGGGATGCCAGACGGCCCAAAGAGATAAACATCAAACAAGTAGAGTGTCCCTGCCTCCAGCCCTTTGATGGTTTCTGTGGTGACAGCTCGCTGGAGGTTTAGGTCATAGAAGTACTTGCACAGCACTTTCTCTGATTTGTGCCGAGATTCAGGCCCAGAGCAGCTGTCTGCACTCTGCAGCTCCCTCCAGATCTGATCCTCCTCAATCCTTTTTCTGTACACACAGTACTTGCTCTCCTCTTGTGTTCCCAGCCAGGCAATGGTCACAGACCTGCATGTTCTCAGTTTACTGAATGATTTGATTTTTAAGCTCTCTGGAAGAAGTGGGAATAAGGGCTTGTGGAAATGGGGGGATGCCAGTAGCTTCACAGAAGAGTTAGATTCCTCTGTGGACCTCAGCTGCACTGAGTAGGTGTCCAGCAGCTTTCCCTTCAGGGAGAAATACCTCAGCCCAGACAGATTTTCTGATGCTACTGTTTTCCCATTTCTTGTTATGTGAACCTGTATTTGACCCCGACACAGCTGGAAGGTGAAGTGGATTTTCTTGTGCCTCGCCTGGTACTGCAGACTGTAGAGTTTCTGCTTTTTCCCATCCAGGACCACATGAATCACTTTGCCATCTTTCAGCTCTGTCACCTTGGGCTCAGGTTCTTCCAGGGTCCTGGCGAATGTCCCGGTGTATGCAGCGCTGGCGTTTGTGAGGAGATTGACAATAAAAACATCAAAGTAATACTGAGTGCTGGGGCTGAGGTTGGGCACTGTGTAAGTGTTCTTGGTGCCCACGCACACCTGCCTGACTTCCCCACTGCTGACTTTGTTGATGATGCTCAGTTCGCTGTTGGACAATATCATCACCTGCTGTGGCTCCAGAAGGTACGGAGACAGGGACAGAGCTAAGGTGGGTGGCAGCTTCATTCCAGAAGATCTGATGGCTGTCTCAGCAGCACACAAGCTCTTGTAGTTGTGCTTTTCATTAACTAGGAGACAGTACTGGATGCTCTCCCTGTGCTGCAAGACAGAAGGGCTGTGTTTCCAGGCCAGAGTCACCGTTGTGTGGCCGATGCCGATGACATCAATGCGCGGATCCGCTGGCAGCTCTGGGTAGAGGTGCCCAGAGGTGGTGTCAGTTGTTAGGTACACTGTAATGTGTGTGTCCCTCTCCGTGGATAAGAACTCGAGCAGGTAAAGGGCAGAATGGGAAGACATTCCCATGTAAGTCTCTACGGAATTTCCCTTGTAGTTGAAGATAATGGACACAATGCTTGAAGCCTTGTGAGATTTGGAGACCTGTTGTGTATCGTGGTCACCTGCAGGCAAAAGGCAGACTTGTAACTTCTCTTTTAAAAGATGTGACGTAAAGCACATTGTGCAAGTTTTACTGTTAGGGAACATTATATTGTCTTCTTGAAAGCAGCAATTATAACTAAAAATATGTTTTAGCGAAAATGTTGCTACTGGCAATTTATTAAGTTAAAATTTGAGAAGCTTTTATTTTAGCAGTGCAGCTGTAGAATTATGTTTTCAAAAATACTGTAATTATGAAACCACAACTTGCAGAAGCTTGGCTTGTATCGTGCCTGATGCCCCTACAATTTTCTTCTTCTATTTGCTGTCTCTCAGGGTACTTTAAGGAGACTCATTATTTCTATGATAGGTTTTTTTTCTTTGGATTAGTTTTAGGCCATTATATCATGAAGAGGGAAAACTTATTAATTCAAAGGAGTGTAATTTGAGCTCCTCAGTCAGGTGTATCTGCTTGACAGGTAAGAAGTTGTTAATGGCAGCTTTTAGATTTCTAGCTTGAAAAATTAATTCAAAAATCATGCAAGAGAAAGGAATTGCCTTTTCGGGTGAAGGCAGTATAGTACCCACTGCCATGGTAGATGTGGCAAGAGTAAATGGCTAACTCTTCTCTGCTTCATGTGGGGAGAAAAAGTTGTCTTAAGTGACCTAAGCCACAGAAAAATAACTGAGGCAGCAGAGGGAAATTCAGCCCAGTAACAAGAGCTTATGAAGTTGGTCTGTTTGTGCAGCCTGGAAGACTTGCTGTTGTTCCCAAATATTAACCTTAGATGTAGACATTTTAATATCTGATTCTTAATTTATTTGTCTGGAGGGCAAGATCTGATGGGTTTACCTGTTTTACCCATGGGAACCAGGTCAGTCCATGGCAATTTAAAGGAGGGAACCACAAAGCATATGGGAAATTTCCTGTAACACAATTATCTATGAGTAACCTGTGCTTTCTTTGCCTCTGCTTAGGCAGGCTGAAGGCCTTACCTGGTGCTGCTTTTCCTGGTGGAGACTTGTACACAAGTATGCTCCACTCAATGGGAACGTCACAGGGTGTCACTGTTATTGAGAAAGGGGCAAGGGCCCTGCCCTCTTCCAAAACAAAGTAGTACCTGTAAATGTGAATAGAAATAGAGGCAATGCATCAGGGAGTTCAGGTTTGCCCAAAACTCCTTGTAATCAGCTACTCTGAGGTGGGTCACTTTGCTCTGGGTAGAAATGACTGTTCTCTGAGGTGCATCCACACAAAGGGATGATGAGTGTCTGCAGTCTTCAGCTGTGGGAAGAAAACAGGCTGTGGGGTATTTTATTTTTTTAATCCACATGTATTTCCTGAAAAAGGCAGTATTTTTCCCCTCTGAGTATTTTTTCCATGCTTTAGGTGAACACTACATCTCATCCTTAGCTGGTTATTTTGGGTGATGGATGTCATTTAGCTGACTGCCTTCTCCATAACCACCTGTTGCCACCACAAAGTGTCATCAGTGTCTGTGGTCAGGTTTTGATTCCCGCCTTGTAAAAGCTCAACCTCCTGTCTTGCTCTGTTTTACTTCTGTTGTTTTTATAATGGATGGACTTGGCCATAAAATGTTTGGATTTGGGTGCCTCCCTCTGCACTCCAATGAAGGCGGTTGGCAATCCAAGGGTTTTTTTTGCTGTTCACCAGTGAGACAAGCACAGTCACCACGGATAGACTCTGTCAGCCTGGAGGTGTGGCTCACTTTCAGGGCATGGCTCCTAGGCCAGAGTGGGGCTTCACTGGAGTCAGTTCCTCATTCTTGAGTCTTTTACTCTCATCCAAAACTTGTCTTCTCTTGTCTTGGATCCTGTTTGGGTGACCGGGGTTCAAAAGAACCTTTCTGATCATGCTAAACTACTTCCTAATTGCTGTATTCATGTTATGCCACATGAGCACAGAAAAACTCCCTTTTCTTTGTTTCAATACCCCTTGTTCTTTAACTAGGAGAGCTCCTAGTTCTGTTCTTGTGAGCATGGTCTCATTATATAACATGTGCCACGTTCCAGTTTTTCTGTGCAATGCCCATGAAGGCTGAGCAATCTGGCTCACCCTCTGCTCCATGACCACTCGCGTGTTTGTCAAAATCTGCATTTGCTGGGTTCTGTCCAAAGTGCATCTCTTCCCAAACAAGCAGATTGATCTTTGCTACCCAGATGCAGTGCCAGTTGTAATATCTAGATCACCTACATATCTGGGTATGGCAGAAGGCTTTGTAGGTATTGTGGAAAGGTGAAGAATGTGGAATTTTCACATGCAAAGCACCTTTGATCTTAGTAAGCTGTACTGCCACTCAGCAAAAACACTTTGAGTGTGCAGGACAGTGGCAGATTTCCTGATAAGATGTCTGTGCAGGTATTCTATTGATTTTTGGGGTAGTGAATTTGCTAGGTAAAATGTTTGTATTTCACCATGAATGTAGGATGGCTGCTGTCTCTGCAGACCTGAAGCTGGGCTGTTTGTGACACAGCTGTCTGCTGCTGGAGCCCACCCATCCATATCAGTTCTGCTGCTGCTCTGACAAACACAGCAGAAAGCTGCTGAAATATGTACAGGAATCTAAATTTCACCTCAGAGGCTCATTCCAGATTCTGGGCAGTGTAACACTTGAGGAGTGGGGCATTTTTCTGGCATTTCAGTGTGCACTATAGAGCCCTGCAGGTACACAGGGATTCTTGGCTTATCCTGGTAGTGTGCAATTCCCAGTGACATGGGGATGTATCTGAGAATAACAGTGGCTGATTTGCTCTTACCTTTTGGGTATGTCCTTCAGCAGGTGAACTGTAGTTTCCTTACCATCTGCAAGTATCAGGGAGTGGTAGAAATTGAAGAGATTGCTCTTGAAGCTCTGTTGGGAGCTGGTGGTGGGTGCTTTTATAGAATGGCACAAACAAGTTGCCATGAGAAGATGGAGAGGAAGATAAAACCAGAGCCAGAACATCTTCAGTACTGCAAAGTGGAGTGACAAAAGTGAACAGAAATAGCTGTCATAGGAAATAAAGTAATGTGACCCTCTCTTTCTGTGCCTTTCCTGGTGTTTGTTATAAATCCAGCAAGCCAGGCATTCCAATAGTGCAAGTCTCAATTTTGCTGAGCTGTTTAAAGTTCACGGAAATATTCCTCAGAGGATCTCTCTGCAAAGATTTAATTGCAGAAACTGCTATGAAGTCTTTGATTAAAGGAAAAAAAATGTAGTCAATGCAGCACAAGTGCAACATGACAATTATTCAGAAAAATCTTTACTGCTGTCAGAATGAGTGGAAAATTACATTTAAAAGATCTGTTTCTAGTTTGTGATGTTCACTTACTAAATTTCAAGGCTGAGCTATTTGTAATGGAGCTGTCCCTTTAAAAGTCTCAGGAGGTCCCTATGTCCCAAACCCTGCTTCTGCTGTTCTATCAGAGGTCACTGAATTTTTATTTTGTCCACTGGGACAGTAGGCATGTGTAGATAAGAGGATCACTGTAACTTATCCAGATACTGTTTGGTCAAAGGTGGAGAATCTTGGATAAGAATCCCTGAACTGGTACTTAGATGTTAAGCTCTGTGGATCTCATTTGGAAGAAGGCTTTATCACTGTAGGGCAATAACCTTGTTCTTAGATTTTTGTGTTGCTTATAATTCTCACACCTGCATCATTTCCAGCCTGTCTCAGCATTTGCTGATCACTGGAACTGTAACAACTGTCTTGTACTCACTCAGGCAAGAGATTTTTTAAAAATCACTTATGTCCCTTTTTTCAACAGCCCTTATTATCAGCTTGGACTCTATGGAAGAAAAGTACAAAACCAGTCCCCGGCAAATACTGGCATTGTTTAAACTGCTGTGTGCACAGCCCAGAGCTACACAGAGGAGGAGGCAGGGAACTTTAGCAGTGCACTGTGTGCAGTTATTGATTATAACTTACAGCTCCTTTGCCTGCCACATCCAGTTTCAGAAAGTGTGGAAGTGGAAGGGGCAGACACTTTTAATACAGGTGCCAGCTGTAGCTCAGGGATTTGGAAAGCAGAGGGAGCTCTGTGTGCAAGATCCCTTTTTTGAGGAAAAAGTAGCTTATTGCATCTTACAATGAAAAAGAAGCAAAGATCCTGGTTAAATCTGATTATTGGCTGGTGAGGGGAGAAAAAGCACAAGACAAAGGCTCAGTTCTTTGTAATTTTCATTTCTTTCTGAGATCAGCTCTTTCCCCATAGTGCCTGTAAAAGTGTGGAAGATTTTAGGCAGTCAGATCTCTAGTTCAGCACACGCGCTGTCCATTGCAGTTAAAGTGACTTTATAAAAGGATCCCTTCCTTTTTAAATCCATTTCAAACATACATTTAAATACAGCATTGAATATATCTGTAGGTTTTTATGTACAGAATCTGGGATTCCCATAGTCAAGCACACCCTTAGTATCAGTGAGATGATTATGGAAATTATGGTTACCAGGTCATCTGAATGTCCCTCTCAACATCCAGAAAAAGTTGCTTTATTCACTGCCTGTTTGCACTATTTTAGCACTTGGTTGAGTGCAGGCGTAAGCAACCATCTGAACAAGTTGAAAGAATAGATAAGATTTCCATATCAATTCCATTTTAATGCTCTTATAATAGAGCTTTTCCTTATGACTCTGAGTCACTTTGCCACTTGGTTATTCCTCTAGTCCAATTATAGCTTACAGATTTAAAATAGAACCCCAAATATTTTGCTTTACCTTTGACAGTGGAATCTGAGTTGCTCTGTGCTTTGGAGAGGATTAAAAAAACCCTTTTTCTGCTGCTTAAATGACAGGATCTTGCAAACCACACTGATACCGCAGCAGCTCAGCTTTTTGTCTCCAGCAAAACAAACAAACCAAGTGATCAACAAACCTATAATCAGCTTATCCCAAAGAGAGCATCATCCCAAAGGCTATTTTCACTCAATTACACAAACAATATATTCTCAGACTATTGGAAATATGTTACACAAAAAATACTGTACTTACCTATTTTGTTCCTGGCTGGATGATCCCCAGACCACTCGCTTTCTTTGCCAAAAAAGCATAAAAGAACATAGACTTTTCAGATCTCTGTAGGCAGATGAAAATCAAAACTGTGCAACCAGTCTAACAGGACAGAACTGATTTTTCCATATGGCTCCTGAACAGACATAGCAACTGAAATGCTTGCGGTCCTTCAAGAAAAGTAAACTAAAAACCAAAGCCACAGCAGGGTTTTGGTGCTTTCTTCAGCTGGGTGTTTTAAACTTGGCCAGTTGTGCAAAGTCTCCCAGGTGCTGATTGCTGTCCCCTCAGCTCCTGGGGCTGCTCCTGCACCGAGTGTCAGCCAGGCTGCTCCTGCAGCCTAATCCAGCACTGCCTGCCCGGGGAGCAGCTCATGAGGAGGGGGGGTGAGATGGAGAGAGGAGCAGACACTGTTAACCCTTGTCAGCCCTTCATCCCAGCCAGCCAGGGGTGCAGCAGTCTCCTCCAGAGAGCCACTTTTGTGTTAGCAGTGTGATTGCCCTCCCAAGGAGCGTGTGATCCCTCTGCTCTGCAGAAGCTCCAGGTAATTTCAGCTGTGCTGAGTTTCTGCTGGGTGCTTTATGGGCCCAACAAGTGCTGACCTAAAGCAGGGAAGGCAAAAAAAAGGTGCAAGGGATAGAATGCTCTGTGTTTTTAAAGCAGACTGGGATTAGCAATCCTTTGAAGGCTGTCAGAAATCTCCTGAATAGAGCTGAGCAGTTTTCTTGGCTTAGAGAGGCTGTGTAAGAAAGAAACTCTGAAAGTGTCTGAGCTGGGGGAGCATTTCTGTGGCTGAGGGAGGAGGCAGCAGAAGGGTGCATGGGAAGTGGCTCACAGCAAGCCAAGCACTTGCTTGTTGGGGCTACAAAGCAGTTGTAGAAAAGCCATGGTTCTTTTCAGGCCACTCCTGCTGAGTGAGAGCAGAGCGTGGCCAGGATTCGCAGGCTGCTCGCACTTCTTGGCCTGGGCTGTCAGCAGAGATGCCCTGGGACTGGCCCTGTGGGGATGCCTGCTCAGAAAGGCAAGCCCCAGGAAGCTGCATCAGCTTCCAGGCAGGCACTTTGCAGGGGACAAAGGCAGAATATTGTAGAGGCTCTATTTTTATTTAAAGTCTCTCGTCCAGTGTTTAAAGAGTGGCTTGCAGTAACCCTTTATTACTGTCTCCCTGATTTGGAGTTAGATTGTTTAAGCCTTCACAACACTAAAAATTTGCTAAGAAGAGGGGAGATAAGGGAGAAGTAGAAAGAAGTTACAACAGATTTTGCTTAGCAGACCCTTCTGAAAATGTAAATTTGCTCATCAGCTGATGTAAGAGAAATATTTACAGTGCAGAAGATGTCAGGAGTAATTAAGGTGGTCATCAGTTTTTTTTTTGCTGAAAAGATTTGCTGAGCAACTGGGCTTTTAAAAAGGGATAGTATGTGGGAGCCTTGATACAGGCACTGTATTAACAGGGTGTTGGTTTGATACAGGCACTGTGTGATCAGGGTTTTGGTTTGATACAGCCCTGTATGATCAGAGTATTGGTACCCTGGAGCTATGAGGGGACACTGCTGGATGTATGCTGGAAAACTGGCACAAGCAGAATAAATGGTAAACAGGGTCTGCCAGACAAATCATCATCCTGGTGTGAAATGCAGCCCAGGTCAAGTCTGTGTGACAGATCTGGGAACTAATGGAAATGTAAGCACCTAGCCAGAGCCAAAGTGTTTCCTTAAAGGAGTAGAAACAGGACAGAAAGGTGTTGGTGCAAAGTCCAGTAAGGTCCCAGAGCAGGCCTGGAAGAGGGAAATGTAGGTCAGACGAGGTGCATCAAAAATGTGCCCTGAAAACAGGACATGACATTTGTTTTCATAGAAAAAAATATTGGTCACAATATAAGTGCAGGACCTACAGTCTGTTTTGTGGTGGGACTCATGGGTAGAAGTCAGCTGGGAGGATTGTAAACCAGCAACCAGTGCTAAGTAGGGATATCTCTGGGCAAATCCCAGAAGCACATGTCACTCATGTCTGGTAAAATCCCTAAATCTGTACAGAGTGGACATGCTCATTCTAGAAAGGATGGACTCTGTCTTGTCCTCTCCAAACCTTCCCACTGCCATCAAAACAAACCATTAGCCTCAGCAAATTGAGCTTCCAGGGAAGGCAATGGGAGTATTTCCTTTGGCCATCATTTCAGAGTTGGAAAACAAATGAATTGTGCTGAGCAGTTTTGGAAGGAGGTTCAGAAGAAACACTCTGTCTCCCACTGAATAAAACATGAGCAAGGATGTCAGGTGAAAAAGGCTGGTGATGGTGTAAGTTTGGAAATAATCCAGTTCCTCTCTGGACAATTTCTCACATACTTCCCATGTGTGTCTGCTGACATGCTTTGCTGGAGCAGAATCTGGGCTCATAAATTTTCTAAGAGGTTCACTGAATCACTATCAAAGGGGAAGAAAAAATATTCTCTATGGAGAAAGTAAAGAGCTAAATTCATGACTTGTGTAGCTTGACTGAACTCAGTGAAGTTACAACAGGGATAAATCAGTCCTTGATTTGGCAAAAAATTGATATAATGGCCTTTTCAGTAATAAAAGTCTGTAATGAGCAGGCAGTGCTCCCCTCAGAGCCGAGCTGGTGACTTCAGGAGGACTGTTCAGAGATCCTGCTCCTGTTCCAGCCCTGCTGCCCATCCACACCTTTCACAAATGTAGAGATGGAGCACCTTTGACACCAGAGAATTGGTTTATACTCAGTTATGTGGTGGCTCTGCTGGAAGATCAGTCATGCTGAAACATAGGAGCTGCTTCCAAATGGGAGCAAAAATCCTAATCAGAGGTTTAGCTTGAAGCTCTCAAAGACACTTGAGATGTTTGTTTCCTGGAACTGCAGTCCAAAGTTCTGTACTCAGGTGAGAGACTCTGCAGGCCAGGGGAGTGTCCTGCAGTCTTGGCAGCACTGTCCCCCAGCAG